AGCAAGCATCCGTCAGACATTAGACAAGAACTTTAAATGGCAAAATGAGTTTGATCGCACCAAGCATTTTGACCTTGACTGGATCCGATTATCGATTTATAATTTGTGAGTGTTGACATCATTGACCATGACAAGCGCAAATCCGATCTTGTTGTTAATGCTTGTGGTATTGTTGATGCGTAGGCTGGTCGAATACGAGGCAGGCTCGTTTACAGCAGATCATCTTGAGGACTGGTATAATATCCATCTATGGTCATTCATTGACCGATCACTGGATGATCTTGACAGGGTGGCGGCAATTCAGTGAGTTATATTTGAGTTCTTTGGATCATTGCTGAATTTACTAATCACTTTTGCAGTGGTGAACCATGTAGCCTTACAAGTGCAGCAAGAAAGAACCGAAATCGGGTTGTGGAAAGTGTTTTATCTCTCGTTAGAAAGAAGATAGGTAGACGTGGGGATTTAATCATTCAAAGAGGGGAGTGTGAGTTTGGTGTAGGTGATAATGGTCGCAAGTTTGATAGAGAGAATGGAAGCAAGCTGTTGAGAGAGCATGGTTTGAAGTTGCCGAAAATGTTGAAGGATATATTCATTGAGCTGAGTCAAGTATGCCAGTATGAAGAAGCAAAGATCAGAAATTTACAGACGCTGGGATTTGTACATTCAGGTAAAGAATTTGAATTGAGCAGAGGACTGTCTGATTATGATGTCTAATCATCTTTATGCCACTCGCAAAGGTCTGTACATGATGCTCTTGCTGCTTGACCAGCCAGCAGGATACATTTGTAGGGTCACAAGATCAAAAATGGAGAAAGTGTCAGAGGATGTCTCCCAGTTTCCTGAGACTTTGTCTGTTCTCACATTGATACTCAAGGCCAAGGTTTGTCTGGCTCTCACTGTGTTTAAATTTTGTATGGTTTGTTAAATCTACCATTTATTTGCATAATTTCACTTAGATGATTATTAAGGAGATCATCTGCCTCTTGGAAGGAAGAACACCAGAGACCAACAATAAGTTTATCAAACGTCTACAGCAAGCGGGATGTGATGATGTCCTCAATACTAAGCATAGTATCCCTCCATGCAATACAACTCCAGTTAAGAAACGTCGTCATAACAACAAATGAGTGATCTTGCATATTTAGCTATCACTTAATTCATTTTCGAATATATATATAGTTAAGATACCACTTAAACTGATAATTGCACTAACTGAGAAAGATGCAAAATTTTAGTTCAAAGCACAGATGTAGTACACCCTATCTTGCAAATAATTTGATTCAAAAAAAAGACATTTTGAATAAAAATTTATGCATAAGAAATAGCAACAACTCTCTTATTTTTTGGTTTTGATATTGATATGGTTTGCCAATGTTTACTTAACAGCTCTTCTTCCTCTTGGTAAATTTCATAAGTAAAATTTTCTTTATCTAAATACAGGTTATAAAAAATATCATATAAAAAACATGAACCATTGAAACAGTTCTCTGGTTATAAGAACATTCACATGTGACACTGGTTATAAGAACATTCACATGTGACACTGGTTATAAGAACATTAACATTGTGGGACAAACATGGTTTTTATAACCAGAGCTGACTGTATATGTATATGAAAAATATTCTATGGAGTATGAACAAGCAATTCACTTTTGTATGTTATTGAATTAAGATATAATATGTTTAATATAGGATTATATCTATAACATATGAGACTAATTTATATCAAATCAACTATGGATCAAAAAAATTACAGCACAATTAGAAGCATTTTAAAAAAAAACAAGGTGAAAAAATTGCACCCTACATTTTCAAACTAACAGACACCAAATTTTTGCAAACTTAGTTAGCATTGAATCAGTTAGTAAGTAAGTGAAATTACAAAGGGGTATGTAATGATGGGATGTAGAAACACCAGGTGCAAGCAAAGTTGGACAACGAAATATCATAAAGTTGATGTGATGTTAATTGCCTTAATTATTAATTATTGTTTAAGCTTGCTGTAGCTCATAAATAACCTGACACGTCTTGTTACGGCGAGCTGATCGGCTGACGTCGAAAGCAAGTCACATGGTAAAATCTTCCTTCGCAGTAATCAAACAATACCCCTGACGATCTATTAAAAAGTAGATGTTACTCAAAAGCAAACGCGAATAACGCGATTTTGGTGACAGTTTTGAACACAAGAATGTAGCTAAGAATAGAACATAACGCGAGTAACGCGATTTTGG